GGGGTGGGAATGGGGAGGGTATTGTATATAAAAATGGATGTTTCTCTTTTGCATGTTGGACAAAATGGACCGTATTCACGAGGGGGAATAGTTGCATTTGGACCACGAGAGAGATGGGAAAGGATTAGGGCTTTTTCCATTTTGATCTGCGCCATAAACTATTTACATTTCGTAGTAGAAAAAATATATAAAATTTGTATAATTTTTGTATATAACATATCAAATGTATATATAAAAAAAATACACAAAAAATATATATTTTTTCGATAATTATTTTAGGAACAGCTATACAGTGTCATTTTTCTAAAGGACTAGGGAGGTTGAGTTGGTTTGTGGGCTCAATGTCTTTATTTCTTAAAATGGACAACTAATCAGCCAAAATTAGGCATGTCTCAGCTACAGTTTAACAACCTAACTACATATTATTCTCTTTTTTGGCTTGTCTCACTCTCTCATATGTCTCATTCCACCAACCTTCTTCATTGGTTGTGTGTCTTACTCTTACATCTTCTTCTACATCTTAAATCATTCTATCTTCTTCACTAAGCCAATTAATTGCTATCTCCTAATATAATTCTCTTCAACTATTCATAGTTTCTTTGATTTGTTTGTATTTTTCTTCTTTTTTCTATTTTGGTATTACTTTTTTCTAATATACTTGCAACAAAATATGAAGGATAGATCAATGGAGAAGTTTGTGGTGTTTCCATTTTCTATAGGTTGTGGTTCTGAGTCAAGTGTTGCAGTGGCAAAAGCAAGCAGCAGCCAACCTGCAGCTGAGAACATGAAAAGTTCAGTTTTAAGTCAAGTTCCAACAAGTATGTTTCTTTTAATTTCTTTAAGTTGATTTGTTTAATAATGTTTTGTACGTTTAGTGAATAGAGTTTCTTGGTTTGGATTGAAAATTACTTCCATGTTAAACTTACTAAGCACACATGTGAATCTATGATTTAGAGTTAGTGAGTGCATAATAACTGCTTATGATTCTAATTTCTATAATAGCTATCATCCATTCTCCAGCCGAAGGTCTATCGAAAACGGTCTCTCCGCCCTCCAGGGTAGGAGTAAAGCTGCGTACACCTTAACTTCTCTAGACCCTACTTGTGAAAAATTACTGGGCTTGTTATTATTATTGTTGTTTGATTTTATAATAGCTATACATTAGCATCACTACTAAAAAAACATGAATTAGCAATAGGCAAATTTTGTAGCTAAACAAAAAATATATATCGCCAATCCTATTTAGCGACAGATAAAGTAACATATTATCAAGAAATTATGTTAGGTACAAGTGATTTAGCGATAGATCAGCGACGAAACTCAAGGCGAATTTCAATTTTTTTTTTTTTTTTGCGGTAGTGCATATGTATATATAGTACGAACAAAAAGCAATAGATTCAATAAGAGTGAATAAGTGCATATGATTTTATAATATGTATAATTGACATCGTTTATTTGGATGTTATTAAGAAAGACAAGTTGGAGAAGAGAGTTCATCAAAAGTGAAAATAAATGGCTTTTGGGGATATTATTTGGCCAGACGACAATTTTCTCAAGGCGTGCAGACGTTGAAAAGGAGTTTCAAAGGTTTCTCTCAGTTATTTGGTAAGTACTTGCACTATTAGCTTGTTTATTCAACTGTGCTATTTGTATTAATTTCTAAGTCATTAATCCACGTTTACTACAAAAAGAAAGTTAGTTAAGTTAGTTTTAAGATAATATGATAGTTCTATAAAATAAAATTAAAAAAATAGCGGCACTAATCAGTTTTAAGATAATATGATAATTATTTTTAAAAAATGTAGTGTTATTTTTTTTTTTTAAATGTGGTGTCACTAATCACTATGTTTAAACATTTAAATCCAAGATATAAAGGAGATATAACTTATCTAATGTATTGTGTTGATTATCATTTGCATTGTGTTAATTAGCAAATGTAGATTGTAAATAATGTGATAGATAGTTTGCCTTGAATTAGCATACGTTTTAAAGTTTTAAAGTTGAAAGACCGTAAGCTAATATTTTTTAAAAAAAATATACTAATAGCATTCACGTTTTTATTTTTTAAAAAGCAAATTAAGAAAGGAGGAAAAGTTGTGCCATCTTTGGCGAATTGAGTTAGAACTCGTTATATGACTCATCTTGACCCTATCTAATTTGACCCATACAAATTTAGGACGAGTTAAGTCATGATCGATTTGATCTGTTTTGACTCGACTTGCCAATATGTCACTTCTACTATGAGGGATACATCAATTAACGTTATTGAAACTTGATCAAATTGTATCAAATGGGGATTCAAGCTTATATAATTTAATTGAAGTCGCCGTATTAAATCTTGAATTTGTCTTTGATTGTCATGTGTTGTTTTTTCCTCCTCCTGCAGTGTATAAAGAAGAGATTGAAGAAGTGGAAATGGAGATGGAAATAGGGAACCCAACAGATGTGAAACATGTAACACACATAGGATATGATGGATCCACAAAAATAATTAATCCTATCAATGGCTGGGATAATTCAAAATCACCTGATTTACTTTCTTTTCCTAATTCAATCTCCATTAAACAATTTGACCTTGCTATGGCTTCTCAAGCTGGTGGATCCTCTAGGTTTTAGTAGCGATATAGTTGCTGTACCTTTTTCTTCCATTTTTTTTTAATTAAGGTTGCTGCCATATGATCAAGAGGTCACGAGTTCGTGCCGTGTAAACATGCAGAAATGTAAGGTAAGGCTACATAGATCTTTGCGTGGTCCGGTCCTTCTCGAAGCCCGCGCATAACGAGAGCTTAGTGTACTGGACTGCCGTTCTTTTTATTAGTTTTTTTTAAAGCAATTATTAGGTTTTCTTTCTTTCTTAATCGTGAAGATTTTTTTTGTGCCATAATGGATTTGGAAATGGCCTCAGTTGAGGTGTTCAGTTGATCATTGAGGACAATTTAAATGAGTTTTTTATGTATTTTGCCTTAATAATACAAAGTAATGAATAATACAATTGCGATGAGCAAAAAAAAACAAAAAGAGGAATAAAAATATAAATTTCAAGAAAAATATACAAATACAAGACTAATAATTAGAATTACGACGAGAAAGGTCCTCTATATAATTATCTTTGTGGCGACTAAAGTTGCTGCTAAAAGTAAATAATGACGCTGCTAAAGCCGCAAATGTGGTCTCGCCCCTTCCACTAGCGACCTAGTCGCCCCTAAAAGTCGGTGGCCATATTTACCTGGAGTGACTACTAGTCGGAACTAAAAGTAAATATTTCACCATTAAACTCACATAGTTGGTCGCCCCTAAAAGTCGGTGGCCATATTTACCTGGAGTGACTACTAGTCGGAACTAAAAGTAAATATTTCACCATTAAACTCACATAGTTGGTCGCCCCTTCTAGTGGTGACCTACTATGGAATTTCAGTGGCGTTATTATTAAAGTCACCAGTCACCACAAAATATATCGTCTGTAGCGACCAAAGTTGCTACTAAAATAGATAATGTTGCCATCAAAAGTCTGCTTCACAACCTTGAAATAATTTGACAAACTTAAAATTTCTAAAAAAAAGGTTATATAAGGATGTTAAGACCACAATTTTCAAAATATTTTCGACAGAAGTATCTAGGGGTATGCATTCGAATCGGTTTATCGATAAATCGAATCCATTATTTGTTATTAGTTCATCTATAAATCGAAATCGAAAAAATCGAAACCTTATTGAAACGATAACGATAAGCATATGTACAAATCGATAATCGATAAGTAATTATCGATAAGGGTCAAAATCGAATCGATAAATCGAATCCATTATTTGTTATTAGTTCATCTATAAATCGAAATCGAAAAAATCGAAACCTTATTGAAACGATAACGATAAGCATATGTACAAATCGATAATCGATAAGTAATTATCGATAAGGGTCAAAATCGAATCGATAAATCGAATGCACACCCCTAATTATTTCATCTACCACATTTAAGGAATGATCATATTTAAAGCTCAAGGGAATGAAGTTCAAATTAATGAAAAATAGAATTAGCAGTGATGATATATTTTTATTTTTTTTTAATACCGTTGGAGTATTTGTGGCATACATTTGATCTCTTACTTTAGTTTCCTTGCATGTGCCTGTTGATACAATTTTTATGTTATAAACGGTGTTCGTCTTATTTAGCTTCTTTTTGTCCATATTAGTTAGGCGTGTTTATAGCGATATACTTTTCCCGGAATCCGGCAAATTTTCTTATTGGTGTAATCGATAATCGAATCGATAAGCCCAAAAATTGATAAATCGAAATCGAAAAAATCGAAACCTTATTGAAACGATAACAATAAGCATATGTACAAATCGATAATCGATTATTAATTATCAATAAGGGTCAAAATTGAATCGATAAATCGAATGCACCCCCCAGAAGTATCTCGATTTTAAAATCCCTTTCTTATAAAATATTAGTACATGAATAGGCAATTCTGTATGGGTCAGAATACGACCCCACGATAATTAACGAATCTAATCCCGCTTTAAGCTAATTCATGATTAATAGATGGTAGGGCCATTCCGAACTAAGTGTTTAATCTTTGTCTGGTACGACTAACATGGCCACGACCTGTCCATTATCTTAAAGGAGGAACTCCAGCATGGTCAAGACCACTTGCTGATTAGCTCACACAGCTTACAGTTATAAATTCTAAGAGAAAGAACCCTAGGGGGGGGAGGCTTCTTCTTCTTCTTCTTCTTCGCCACTACTCCTAAGGGAGAAAGAACACACAGTGCTGCCCATATTGTGGGAAAAAGAAACATCATTGTAAGGCTCTGAACCTCTCCATGGAGGGGCAGACCAAACCAATACTATCAATAAAGGCTCTTCATATATTTCTCCTTAATTCCGAATGTTGGCTTTTCATTTCTTTCCATCAGTCTCTTGATTTATTACGATCTGCTATGATCTGCCCTTGGTTTATTTTGATTGTTTTAAGCTTACAAAGTACATAGATAACTTTGAGCCAAATAATTTGGCGGCGTCTGTGGCGATTTCATAGCAAAATCGCGTAGTTCCTCCCTGGGCCAAAAGGAAAGAAACGCCTGAAAGGGAAGGCAACCCAACTCAAACGAGCCAAAGCAGCATATCGGGCAAAGGGAACCCAAAGGCTTCGACAAGAACCTGAACCCCTCACCCTCCATCCTCGAACAAGTGCAAGAAGAGGAAGAAGATGTAACCCCCCCCCCCCCCC